CATCGATTGGATCCATCGTGTCCAGTGGCACGTCGAATTGGATTGGAGCGTCACGTCGTCGGAGCTGGTTGGTGTGTCGGGTCCAGACGGTGTCGTTGACTGCGACGTGGTACATAGTTTGTCCAATGCGCTTCTGGATAGTACCTGGAATCCAAGTGGCAGTATTTATGTTACGGTAGTCTTTAACATAAACCTTTTCTCCAACTTGGTAGCTTCTTGATCGTGCACCATGTTGCTTGTTGAACTGCTTCTCCATCTCAGTATCATGCGAGTTGGGAAGTTGGTCTTTCGGGCGTAGTTGATCCAGAAATGTTCGGCTTTTGCGACCAATGAAGTTCTCAGCTGGTGTAGAGCCATTAGGGCTGGAGGTGCAAGGAGTTGAGCGGTAGCTCTGCAGAAATACATATAAGGCAGTATCTGCGTTTTCCTCCCCTTTTAACTTGCCTAAGCTCCGTTTGAGAGTGTCCACGAAACGTTCTGCTTGACCTGTGGATGGAATGGTGGTGATCGTGAATGTGTGATTCCTCGATCCTTGCAGAAGTTCTCGAAACCGATGAAGTGAACTGAGTTCCGTTGTCGGTTACCAGCGTTTGCGGATCTCCGAATTGTGAAAACACTTTTCTCAGAATATTTATTGTAGCTGAGTTGTGATGGATGTGGTTGGGAAGACTTCAGGCCATTTGGAGAATGCGTCTACCACGACCAAATAGTACGTTCCATCCAGTGGTCCAGCATAGTCAGCGTGTACCCTTTGCCAGGGAGCGGTTGGGATTGGCCAAGAACATAGAGTGTTCCTTATTGGATTCTTAGCGACTGCTGCACACTGATCACAACTCCTGACCATGTTCTCGATGTCCTTATCGATGGATGGCCAGTATACCAGAGATCGTGCCAACTGCTTCATCCTCACGATTCCAGGATGAGCCCGGTGAATCATTTTGAGAACCCTTGCCTTGAGAGTGCTGGGAATGACGATCCTGTCGTTGAACATGATGCAGTCGGCCACGATTGACAGTTGGTCTCGTCGGTGGTGGAAAAAAGAGACTTGTGAGCTTTTATCAATGATTTTGGGCCACAAACCTGATACAACATACTTGTATACTTGACTGAGAAGTGGATCCTTCTTAGAGGCAGCTCGGATCATGTTTGCAGTCACAGGTAGTCGCTCGCAGGCAGATACCAGATTTGTGATGACTTCTGATTCGACTTGAGCAACGACACGATCTTCACATTCTTTTTGCTGGATTTGGTCCGAGATCAATCTTGACAGAGCATCAGCTTGTCCAAAGTGATTGGTGTTGACGTACTCGATGGTGAAGTCGTAGTTGAGCAGAATGATAGCCCAACGCTGGAGACGGTTTGCACTGTAAAGGGGTATACCTTTTTTATCTCCAAATATTGACAGCAATGGCTTGTGGTCGGTCTTCAGAGTGAAGTGGCGGCCATAAAGGAATTTGTGGAACTTCGTGACAGCCGTGATGAGTCCGAAAGCTTCTTTCTCAATCTGACTGTAGTTCCGCTGTGGAGCTGTTAGAGCTTTGCTGATATGGTAGATAGCCTTCTCGGAGCCATCTGGAAATCTGTGTGAGATTACTGCTCCGATACCGTATTGCGAGGCATCGGCAGCGACGATGATCGGAAGCTTCGGATCAAAGTGTGTGAGCAACAAGTCCGATTGGAGAATCTGCTTGACACGGTCGAATGAATTTTGACATTGAGACGTCCAGAGGAATTTGGCATCCTTCTTGGTGAGAGCATCCAGTGGTGGGCGGAGCCTGAACAACTCCTTGACAAACGATCCATAGAATTGAATGAATCCGAGAAACGAACGGACTTGGCCGTCGTTGGTAGGTGGTGGCATTTGCTGAACGGCAGCGATCTTTTCAGGATCTGGACGTCTTCCATCTTTGTCTATGATGAATCCCAGAAATGTGATTCTTTCCATCAAGAATGTGCACTTTTCCAGTCGGATCCGGAACCCATAATCATTGATTCGCTTCATCAGTGCCATCAATCTTTGGTTGTGCTCTTCAATTGTTGAGCCCGAGATGATGATGTCATGCAAGGTAAGCAGCTGTCCCTTCGAGACCAGTGATCATCGAATCCATGATTTGGTGGAAGGATCCAGGAGCTGACTTGACTCCAAAAGCCAGTCGATTGTAGCTGAACAATCCTTTGTGAGTGTTTATGCATAGCATCTTCTTGGCTTGCTCATCCAGTTCAATCTGAAAATAAGCTTCGGCAAGATCAATCTGTGAAAAATACTTCCCACCGTTTACAGTGACAAAGATGACGTCGGCGGTTGGGAGTGGATGCTGATGCAGTTGGATGGCATCATTGAGACCCGTAGAGAAATCTGCGCACATCCTTAGCGATCCATTCTTCTTTTTGACTAGCACAATTGGCGCTGCCCATTCGGAATAATCCACTGGAGAGATGACGCCTGCTTGCTGTAGACGATCTAGTTCCTCTGACACAGTGGGCAATGCGGCGAATGGGACCGATCTAGCTTTACGGAACACTGGTTTGGCATCTGATTTGAGTAGGAGCGATGCCTTGGTTTTGGTGCATCGTCCTAGTTCTGGTTTAAACACATCTGAAAATTCGTTGTTCAACTCAGCTTTCAGTCTGTTCCGAGTGATGTCCAGGTAGTTGCATGCTGATCCAGCATCGGAATGAACTGCGCTGATTTGACTTGGGTTGAGAATGTTCCAGAGCTTCTTATCCTTTGAGATCCAGTCGGTTCCCAGAAGAGTTCCAGTTTCAGCAACATGAGCGATTCCTGTTGCTGATGTTCCACGATGACTGATTTGACTTTGCTGAAGTTGCCTTTTTGTACATTTGCATCCCGTTTTTTGGTTCTGCAAAACTTGGCAATATGTCCGTCTTTTTGACACAAAGTGCATTTGACCTGCTTCTGACAGTCTCTGGCCCAGTGTTTGCCTCCGCATTTGAAACAAGGTGAAGGTGGTGGCTTCTGTGATTTATCCCGACTTGATGCTTTTTGATGAATGGCATTGATCTCGTTCTGCTTTGCAGCGCTGCACACACTCTTGGAATCGGCTCTCACATCTAGTAGGCGCTTGATTTCCTTTTCCAACTCGAGCAGTGTACATGTAGGCTTTGCTTCCATGATCTGGAGTGCTTTTGTACGGATGTCCGAGTAGCTGTTGTCTCTTAATCCATTTATCCAGACCATGCAGCATGTTTGATCGTCCGTCATCGTCTTGAATTCTGATGACGTGAACCGTCGCAACACGAGCCCAGTGTACTCTTCGATCGATGAGCCATCGTATTCTGTGCGTAGGAACTCCTGACGCTTCCGGAAGATCGATGAGGTCGACTTGAATGTCTCCTTGAGCTTCGGAATGAGGTCCTCGAACTTTAGGGAGTTTGGAGTTTCCGGGAGGACACGATTTGCAAAGTGAGAATACTCTTTTGTGTTGAGTTTAGATAAAACTAACCTTGCTTTGGCCTCATCGGTGAGAGTTGATCCGTCCTTGGTGATGACGTCTCCATATCTGTTGTACCAACTGTCAAATGTCAGATCCTCATCAGGCTCGTATATGAAGTTTGGAATCCGAGTTGAAATCGATTCCACGAGCTGACTTCCATTGGTTGACGTGGTCGCTTGAGATGGGACGAGCTGTCCGAAGACTGATATCAAGGAGGCGATTTGTTGAGTGAGATCAGCCATTGCCTTTGCCTGATCGCCAGTTGTTACGTCCTTTGGATCCGGCATTCTGGCCGGCTGAAGGAATACGAATAGTAGTTATAGAATACAGATTTATTCAGGTACTAAAGATGTACGAGAATAGAGGGGGAAAAGTAGCGAAGGCTGGGAGAGACTAGGACAGACCGAGAATGGTTGTCCGCCCCAAAGAAAGAGGGGTTCTGACCAATGAAACAACTAAGAAGAAAAGTGCCAGAGAAGGGCGCTCTTCTTAGGTGGGTAGATCACAAATAATTTGGTAGATCAAATATAAAACTAATGGAAGTATGCATAGAATGCAACATCAAGAATCATGGATCCAACAGTTCAGCCAATATTTTGATGAAAGTGTGCACGAAAGAGGAGGAAGGTTCGAGAAACGCAAAAATTTGAAGTCTAAAGAGAAGAAAGGTAGGAAAATGATTTTTTAATTTTGAAAACTTTGGAATTCCAGCAGATCCAATCGGTTTCAATAGGAGAAGAAGACGAAGCAATAGCTCAACATTCTTGGAACTAATCAACCATTTGGAAAGTGAAGAATCATCTAAGAATTCATTGAACTCAAGTATTTCTTGTGATAACGAGCCAAGTCACTCTGCCATTTATTATTGTGAAGTGTGTCAGTTGAATTTTTGTAATGAGTAAGTAAACAGACAGCATCAATTCAAAAATAAACCTAATTTCAGATGTTTTACGATTGCTCATGCTCCAAGAGTTTTTTCGAATCAGAGAACCAAGATCACCGACTCATCTCAAAATGAAGATGATTATGAGGTTGACCTTTTTTTATTCTGAAAAATATTCCTAAAAAATTCCAGAAAAGCTTATCACGTCTTCTTGAGAGAATCGAAATAGCTTCCGAAAAACTTGAGGATCAAATAGAAACAACTCGAAGTGCAGCTTCAACATTCCGTTTGGATGGTCCATCCCACCAGAAAATTTCAGTGGTTATTGCCAAAAAATTTGATAGAAAAATGAAAAATGTGATGGGAGATTTAACGGAATTTGTTACCTATGTTGAGCAATTGATGAATGAGATGAAGGAGAATGAGGAGGAGAAGCTGAAAGAAGTGAGAATGTTGAAGGAAGAGATTTCAAGAATATTGAATGGAGGGTCAGGGTGTTCAAAGGAATTATTGGAAAGTGGAAGATTGTTGTGTAGCTCACTGGATAATAGAAAAGGTGAGGCTTAGTGAAGCTCGTTTTTACCTTGCCGTTTGCTGATAGACCTTTTTTGTCTTTTTTTTGTACAAAATATTCCAAAGAGGGTGTCTTTCAGAAATCGGCAATCAGCTGAAAAACTAGGAGTTTTCAAAACATTCTGTGAAAGCAAAGTTTTCAATCTAGGTCTGTTTTACAACCACTAGAATTTTCAAAATGATCGGAAACTTGACAGACGAGCTCCAGACTCTTGAAAATGGTGAAAATGACTGGAAATCTACTGAAAAACATGTTTTTGAATATTTTATTTAAAAATCTCCTGTCTCCCATTCTTTGAGAAATTCTGAATTTCCAGAAATCACCTTACCGAAACTCGACGACTTCAAAATCAGGCTATCAGCTCGAATGAAGCTACTAATTGATTATGAAACTAACGTGTAATCTGTAATAGAAAACCCTCTTCCAATTGTCAAGATTGAGCCAATTTATCTAGGTTCCTGTGAAAGATATCAGAAGTGTGTCAACTGATAAAACGTTTGTGATATTATGATAAACAATTTATCAGTTGACAACGTTTTGATACCTTTTACAGGAACATAAATTGGCTAAGCTAAATTGGCTCAAAGTTGAAAGTAAAACTCTTTTTATGCTATTTTTAAAATTGAATACTAACTATGAAAGTACAAAAATGTTACAACTTAATTTCAATCTAATTTTCCGTGCCTTTACTATCGTCGCAATTTACGAGCGATAGCTAGAAAACTCCATCATTTTTGGGATAGCAACAAATTGGTTCCCACCTGAATGATCCCAAAAATTTTTTCAAAAAAAAACAATTTTTTCTGACAAATTGTGACAAAATTTGTGATTAGGCTAGTTGTTCTGATTTACGTCTCATTTCTCTTCCCTCCTTGAAACTTTGCTATGATCAAAAAGTTCACAATGGGTACATGTAGCCACACCAACCGACAAGAAATCACAAAATTCTTTTTCTTCTCTTTTTCTCTAACATGTTTTCTTTTTCTTCTCTTTTTCTCTAACAACCTTTATATATAAGACCAAACATTGAGGCGACTTGTCCACTTTTTTTTTGTTTTTACAATTATTTTTTCAGAATTTTTTACATAATTTTCTCAGAATTATGATGCGAGACGTGCTAATTTTGATATTATTGGCGTTTTCAGCGCAATTCATATTCAGATCATTGTGAGTTGAGATTTCGAGAAAACGTTGAAAACTGTAGAAGAGTTTTGGAATTCCAAACATTCAGGAAATTTAGAACGTTTGTAATATTATAATTTTTCTAAATTCATGATCCAAGAAATTAAAAATTCTGAAAATTCTAAAAAACTTTTAAGCTTTTGAAATTTAGAATTCCCAGAAAACTTGAATTATTCGAAAAATTTAGAATTTTCGGAACTTTCCAAGTTCTAGAAAATTCAGAAAACCAAAAAAAAAACACATAGAAACTTCCAGATTAACGCTAGACATCAACAAACGCGTCTACAATCACCGCCCGGGTCCATGTCGTAAAATCGAAGGAGTCGTCAATGGCTCAGAAGATATTACAGTAGTCCCTGAGAAGAATTTGGCGTTCATCACATCCGGTTTAGTTTTTCTTCATACCGACGAAACGAAAATCGAGAATACCGGAGACATTTTTATCTACGATTTGTCCCAGAAGAGCTATAAAGCCGAGAAGGTTCCTGTTTTAGGACTGGAAGATGCCCAATTTTTGCCACATGGGATTTCCCATTGGGTGCTGAAAAATGGAACTGATCGCTTGTTTTTGGTTGTTCATTCGAAGAATTTCCAACATTCCATTGTGATTTTGGATTATGATGAGGAGAAGAAACAACTGAATCATGTTAGGACAATTAAAGATGAGCAATTTGTGAGGTATCCTTTTCGAACTTCTGAATTTGACGTCTTCTGACCTTTGGGACCTTCTCTGGTTCAACAATTCTGGCTTGTGGTGGGCAGAGGACTGGGCGATAAGTGAAGAAAACGCCTACTATTGTATACGCAATCCCACACACTTTTCCTCGCTGGCGGCCGTAGTGTCGTGGCTAGCGCGCTGGCTTTTGGCGCGCGCGACGAGGGTTCGAGTCCGCTCGGCGCCAAAATTTTTTGTATTTTTTAATAGACAAGGAAAAGTGTATGGGCACTTGGGTTCAAGCGAGGGGGTCAGAAAAAGCGCCCCAGCAAACTCGTAGGCCAGAAGAAATTTAATAATTTTAAAATGAACGCGGGTTTGAACTAGATCATGATCTATTTCTTTAAAATCAACGGGTTGCAACGCGCGTATTCTCGCTCATCGTTTAAAACTGTGATACTCAGCCAACGAAGTTCGGCAGCGAATTGAGAAATTTTTGAAAAATTTACTGGGGCGCGCTTTCTGACCCCCTCGCTTGAACCCAAGTGTATGGGGGTTTTGAACACTATTTCTTTCCGAATGTCAAATTCGAAATTCCAGACCCAACGATGTTCTTGCCACTGGAGAAAACTCATTCCTGGTTGCGAATGACGGCGGATCCTCGTCGAATATTGAGAATCTTCTAGAAATCGCAACCGGATTCCATCGAGGAAGTCTTGTGCATTACGATGGGCAGGTTAGCAATAGAGCGCACTTTAATCTATTTGAATTTCAAACAAATTTTGAAAAAATTCAAATTTTCAGAAAAGCAAGCCCCTTCTCACAAACACTGCAACGAATGGAATTATTTTGTCTAATGACAAAAAGACATTATTCGTTTCTTTCATTTACAAAGAAACCATTGGAGTCTTCGATTGGGATGTAAAAAATGAGGAAATTCAAAAAATTTCGGAAATTTCGACTCTAACGGCTTGCGACAATTTTCATATAGATGAAAAGGACAATTTGTGGTCGGTGGGTTTTTGAAATTTTTGAAATTTGAATTGCAAGCTTTGCTTCGCAGTGGAGCGCGGATGCGCGATGCTAATTTTCAAAAAATCGAAAAATAAACAGATAAATCGATTTTCTATCGTTTTCGGCAAATTTTTTCGGAATTTCCTTTCGATAAAAACGGTAATAAGGCAAAAATACACATCTTAAGCCCAAAAACAGCCAGTTTGGACCAAAAATGAAATTTCTTGAAAATTTTTCGATTTTATAAAATTTAATAATTTCAAAAAATGTAAACAGTTTATTTTAGAGTTTTTCGAGCATAAAAAACAAAAATCTTTGCGATTTTTCGAAAAAAAAAACAAAAAAATTCAAAAAAAATGTGTTTGCTGCCTCACAATCGCGCTCCATTGCACAAATTAGGCGCAGGTTGAATTTCGAGAACAGGGGAGGGTCAAACGTGCTCTGCTGAACACAAAAAGGGCTAAATCGAAATTTCAACCTGGTACAATATTATTCTTGTGCAAAAAATTGATCCACGTCTTCTGAATTTTCCGAATCCACGACGACGACATCTCTGGTAATGAAATCATCG